ATATATATATATATATATATATATATATACATAATGTATATATATATTGATCTGATATTGTAATCCTTGCAATTCAGGCACATCAACGAGGTAAACAGGTGCAGTTTTATTTAATTTATTCTACTTTGTCTGGTTAATTAACTTATTTTATCTGTGATTTCAATAAACAGTAATACAGACTGACCATAAAAACAGCAGATATCCATCTTAAAACACAACAGTATCCTTGATTTGAGAGAAATATTTTAAATTAGATTTTTATTCCAGCACTGGGGTCTGAATTTTACATTCTATTTATTTAGTAAGACTTCTGTCATACAAAAGTCCCGTCAGCATTTTAAAGCAGTAAAACACACAAAACCATGTTTTTAGGAAACCTTGAGAGGTTGTTGCCGAACTTGTTACAGTTTTTGTTTTGTGTTAAAATTTTGAGCTGTTTTCTTTTTGTATCTTCAAATTTAATGGGCAAACAAAAAAAGTCACATTTATACTCTTATAGAAAAAGTGTTTTTAAAGGTTCATAAACTAATAAATTACTGTACAAAATGTTACAGTCTTTTATTGGTTTCTGCAGGAAGACCACTGAGATTCCTGAAACCTACAGAGAAGAGGGAGAGATGGTTGTTCCAAGTTACGGCTACTTCATCCGAGGAGCCCAGACCACCTTCAGCGGAGTCCTCAGGTATTTTTCAAATCTGTTTTACAGTTTTCCCTCAAAACTAATGATTTAAAGCAACTGAGGGGTAAATAAAATAAAAAAGTTAGTGTTAGAACTTAGCAGGACCAATGTTTAAAATTAAATAAAACAATATCTGGAAAAAATAATAAAACATAAAAGTTTTGTTTTTTAAACTAACAAACACTTGTTTTGTACGTTTTTTTCAGAGATCGTCAGTGGAAGTACATCTTGTGCAGAATGACAGACTTTGACTGTGAATTTGAGAATGTATAGGTTTGTAAGGAGCATTTTACAGACACATATAAAATGCAATTTCTTTCCTTCTATCATGTCATACCATAATAATGACATTACATAAAAGTAAAACAGCTCATTTTGCATTTCATGAACTTACTTTTAATAAATATTCCATAATCGAGAATGTGATATATTCTTGTAAGCACTTTTTTTTATTAGTCTAGCAATAAGAAAGTTTTTATATTGCGTAAAGATAAAAAAATGAAATAAACATTTACAAAATTTTGTGGCTCTACAACTTTCATTTAACTTCTGGAGAAACTAATCTTTAATCAGTAGCCTGTAACATGCTCTTTGTGTCAGTAAGCATAATGCAGCGAGTCCTGCTTCAAGGTCTTTTAGTTATGGTAACTCTTTTTATGAAACTTGTACAAATATTTAGAATGGCTGCCAGGATTATTCGCTTGGTAGTACCCCCTGAAACAATAGTTAGGAGTAATGAGTACTTGGCAATATGTGAGTTGCAACAAACTGTGTCCAACCTGCGTTCATTTGATCCTAATCCATCCCTTTTTATTAAAATGTTATCAGCATATGTTCCTCTGTAAAAAATATTAACAAACATTATTTTACATAACTGTGTTCTGTGTTCAGTTTAAGCACAATTTAATAAAGTAAATGAACAGAACATGATGAATTGGAGTAAACTGTGAGCATTTATTAGTGTGTTTAAGCTATTCAAATTGTTGTAGAAGAAAGGATCATAAAACTGTGGGAAAGTACTTCCAAACACATTGAGTGGATGAATTCAGCCATGACGACCTCCTTTGGGCTTAGCTTGGCTAGAGGTAAGCTTTAAACCACTGATATTGCCAATAACACAAAAGCCTGAAGGCAGACTGGCTTTTGTGTGTTCACATGTTTCTTGGAAAGATTTAACATCAGGGAATATCAGCAGCAGGTCACTTCAGTTACAAAATGTTCCACCAAAGATGAAAAAGTGCAAAAAATAAAAATATCAAACACATGAACTTTGTGTTCATACATTCATAACTCACCATTTAAAAAAACATTATTAACAGTAAAAGTTAGGGATGGGATGGTTTGAAAGTCATTGACAGTTATTAAAAAGTTATCTAACTGATTTAATTCTTAATCAACTTGCTCATCTTGCTCCAACTTACAGTAAACCAGTGTCTCTTTGGGCTGTGAGTGCTGGAAACGAGTTAATTTCTTAAAATTGTAGGAAAATACAAAAAATTTCCATTTACTGAATTTGTACTTACAATTTGTTTGTGTTATGAACGCACTGGGACTTTGCGTACATGTTGCAAATGTCTGCGACAATTCTGCAACAAAACTGCTCCTGTTGCGCACGTCTTGCAACACCGATGTGACATTTTAGGTGACTGAATTTAAATACCTCGGGACAATAATTTATAATAAGCTGACCTTTCAACACAACATTGACTGTATTTACAAAAAAGCCAGACAGCGTCTCCACCTTTTATATAAGTTAAGGAGCTTTAATGCTAGCAAAAATACCTTGAAATTGGTGTACATGTCACTGGTTGAAAGTACTGTTCCTTTAATATTGTCTCATGGTATGGGAACGTCCTAACCAGAGACAGAAACAAGTTGTCCCGGGTGGTCAAACAAGGTAGTAAAGTCATTGGTCATCAACAAATGACACTTACAGACCTGTACAGTCAGGCTTTAGACAAAAGGCAATTCAGGTTCACAATGACCCAACTCATCCACTGCAACCATTATTCAGGTTGGTACCATCTGGCAGAAGACTGGTGGTTCCTCTGGTAAAGAACATGGGAACAAAAATTAATTTGTTCCCTCTGCTGTGAGTGTCCTTAATAAGGTCCTATTTAAATGTAGCCTCACATGACAAACCAACGTCTGTTGAGATGTTTTTAACGTTTCATGCATTTTAGAATTGGTTTTATTGGGTTAGCAAAGCTTTTTAAAGTTTTATGTCATTTTTAACTTGTGTTGTTTTGTATGTATGAGCCAGATGTCAAAGATAAATCTCCATCCATCCGTCCATTATCTTTTACCGTCTTTTTACATTTGGGGTCATGGGTGTCGCCGGTACCCATGTCCAGCAATTACTGTGCGAGGGGCGGGGTACACCCTGGACAGGTTGCAAGTCCATCACAGGGCCACATAAGTGACAAATGAGACAAACAATCATTCACTCTCTCACTCACACCTAGGGACAATTTAGAGTTACCAATCAGTCTAACATGCATGTTTTTGGTCTGTGGGAGGAAACCAGAGTACCCGGAGAAAACCCACGCATGCACGGAGAGAACATGCAAACTCCACCCAGAAATTCCCCTGGACCGGGATTTGAACCAAGGACCTGCTCGCTGAGAGGCAGCAGCTCTACCAGTTGCACCACCTTGTTGCCCAAAATAAATCTCCATCTCATGAAATGTTATAGACAATAAAGTTACATTGACTGATTGATTGCTCCCACTTGTTCTCTGCAAAGGCAGATACTTTTCCCTCCTGCTCCTTCCCTGCTCTGCTCTTTGTCCTGTGAACCTTTTGGAGCCTCTCTTTACATATCTTCTGAATTGTAAATTATGGATTTGGTCAGCTGGTCTCTCAATGCAATTGATCAAATTTTCTCAACGAGAAGACAGGGTGAAGGAGAGCCCTCCTGCCCCGACAGGACACTGGCAGCCGGATACACGATGGATTCCTGGGGCAAGTGGAAGATAGTGTGTCTGTGCTTCTTGTCAGTCGAGGATGCTGAAAATGTTTACATAATTGGATTTATGATAACAGGATTTCTGCTTTATGGAGTTGGTGGTTACCTGGAATATCGACAAATTTGAAAAAACGTCTGCAGTTGTTCTAGCCTTGGGGAAGGGAGCGGGTAGGGGAGGGGGAAACATAGAGTCTTATTCAAATAACTTCCAAGAGAGTTTGAGATAGTCAAGCTTCCAAAGCCAACGCTGGGGAAGCCAGATTTGGATAGCAACATTTGTTTTGGGTCAGGCCTAGCTCTGTTAATTTCCATCTGCCTTTTACAGTCTCTCTAGTACATCTCAATGATGACTCCAAACAGCCAAATCGTGGTCACATATGCTGAGTCAAGCTTACAACTTCTCTGAGATCTATTTCTTCCCACCAGCAAGATTTAGGAGCTGCAAATAGCCTGCGATTCACAGCAAGAATCGTGTCCAGCTTACAGCTCAGCTCACACAGCATTTGAGTTTGAGTGTTGACAGCACAGCACATCCCTTCACACATGCCGGGCAGCCTTACAATGGACATGGACCTGTGTCAGAGCTCTACTGAGCCGGCTGATAAACACTGCACCATAATTTATCAGGACTATGGCTGGGAGGTGCTATCTGAACAGTGTTCACGGACTACAAAGTACTTCCCCTCAAATTCACAACCTTCGTTGGCCTCCTTTATCCCCCCCCCCCCCCCCCAAGTGCAGCAACCTAGGTAGATGCAAAGGCGCCAGTGGCTGCGTTGCTCACTTGGCTGGCCTGTGCTGGGACACCCACCCTCACCCACTCCACAAGCATGTCTTTATGTCACTAGTATGTTACTTTTTCTTGTGCTGAGGTTGTTGTTTTTTTTGCAAGATATGACTTTTTATTAGGGATGGGGCCGATCCGATCCAGTATCGGTATCAGCCTCCGATACCAGCATAATTTACTATCGGATTTTCCGATCCACCTGCCGATATTTCCGATCCATGATGCAAGTTGGCTTCAAACTATGGAATGGATTTCCTGAACGGCGGCGTGTCTCATGAACCCAGAGTAATAAGACCTGCCTCACATTCAGGAAATCCAGTTCATAGTTTGCAGCCAGCTACAACGTGAGGACTGAGTTAGCAGCACTGTGGCTAATAGCTAACAAACTTTTCATCTAAACATGTTCGCTGTGTGGAAGTATTTTACACTAAAAACACCACAAGACAGCATCGTGCAATGTCTACAGAGCCATAGCGCCACTTTAAACCACGGTAAAGTTAGTTTTATGATGGACATTCGAGCTCTGTGGCTTCAGCGGGGCACTACTCTTTGCTCAACCCAAAACAAGCGACTCGACCCCAGCCAGCTGCGTCCAATCTGCCCCGCTCAGTCTGTCCGTCTCTGAGGAGGGACAGACTGAGCGCAGCTGCCCCAAATCAGGCTGCCTGCTTTAGGTTGAACAAGAAGTAGACGTCGCTGAAACCACAGAGCTCAAATGTTTACTGAGAAGTTGCTAAACTTCATTATTAATGACCAAACACTATCAGTTGTAGAAAACGAAGGATTTCTCAGCTTGATACTTGCAGTCAAGATATAGTTTACCCTCCAGGAGATATTTATCAGTACAACAGTAGACAATCATAAAAAACATGATTTGGAAATTATACATATTAAAAACATAAACAGCTACATTATAAAGTGATGTAAAATACTAAAAACAGGAACGTCTCTGTTGGTTTATGCCATGAACTTAGCAGATGTTTGAAGCCATTTAACATTTTATTTTATTTAATTCATTTATTCATTCATTTAAATGAAACAAAATTTTAAAAAATCATCAAAAAGAAAACATTGAATGAAAAGAGTGCAGAAAGAAGAAAAAATTCTTATATCTGCTCTTTATAACATATAAAACAACTTTAAACAATCACTTAAATTAATCACTTTAATATCCACTTTAAAGCTAGGAATAAAAATAAACATGTTTTGTGTTAGCAGAATTTAATTCTAACTTTAAAACTTATCCAACATTAAAACTTACCTCAAGTTGCCTTTTTGGACACGCATGCAAATATTTGTACAAATTATACTTGAGAGGAGATTATTACAGCCTCATATAAAATCAACGATGATCATGATATCGGAACTGGATCGGTATCGGCCGGTACTCAGATCTAGATATCGGTATCGGATCGGAATTAAAAAAAAGAAAAAAAAAGAAAAGTGGATCGGTGCATCCCTACTTTTTATACCTCTCCTTTCCTCATGTTTTCCCTTTTCCTTATCTAAACAATAAGG